AAGGAAGGAAGGAAGGAAGGAAGGAAGGAAGGAAGGAAGGAAGGAAGGAAGGAAGGAAGGAAAAACAATCCAATCTATGATAATCAACCCCAAGGGAGAACTATGCAAGTTAGACAGTATCACCACCAGGTGGATTTGCAGTTGGCTGACCAATCACACTCAGCATGTACTCCTCAATGGAACTGCATGTCCATGAAGGAAAGCACAGAATGGGGTACCCCAAGGTTCTGTCTTGGTCCAGGCCTCTTCAACATCTTCATAAATGACCTATATGAGGGGACTGAAGGGGAGCTCATCAAATTTGTGGATAACACAAAGCTAGAGGGAATTGCTAACACTTTAGAAGATGAGATGCAAGAAAAGAATCTTTAGAAGAATCTTGAAAGACTTGGACCTCTGGTCTCTATTCAACAAGATGTAGTTCAGTGGTGAGAAATGTAAGGTCCTGCAGTTGGGCAGGGAAAACCAAATGCACAACTACAACAAAAGTGCCTATGATAGGGTCTAGGTCATTCTGGTAAACCACCATTTAAATATGAGTCAGCTGTGTGCAGTAGCTGCCAAAAAAAACCTATGTGATCCCAGGCTGCATCAATAGAAAGATAGCATCAAGATCAAGATAAGTGAAGTAGCACTCTGTAATGTAATAACGAGATGCAATTAGAATACTGCATCAAGTTCTGGTCATCCCAATACAAAAAAAGACACAGAGGCTCTAGAAAGAGTGCAGAGAAGAGCAACAGAAATCTGGAGGCTAAGTAGGCATGTTTAGTGTGATGAAGAGAAGCTGTAGGGGACACCACATACGAGTCTTCCAATACTTAAAGAACTGTCACAGGGAAATGGGGATTGATTTATTCTACCTAGCACTTGAGGTCAGGACAAGAAGCCATATATGGAGGCTCATAAGAGGGAAAACCAATCTGGGAACAAGGAGGAATTTCCTGACAGTGACAACAATCAACCAATAGAACAGCTTCTTTCCTATAGTTAAAGATGCCCCATTGTGGGAGGTTTTCAAGAAAAGATTGGACAACCATTAGTCCAGGATGGTATTGATATAAGGACTTCTGCCTTTGGTCAGGGAAGTGGAGCAGAAGACCCCCAAGGTTCCTTCCAACCCTTTGATTTTGTGAATGTTAATTTTATCTACTATTACCTATTCCACCCAATTTTGTATCATCCACTACATGATAAACATTCTCTGAATCCCAGATGATATGTCACTAATGACAATTCTGGAAAAATATAATGAAGGGTTGATACTATGACCAAAAAATTGATAAATGTTCTTTGACATGATTTTTGAGAAAGCTATGTATCCACTTGTCATGCCATCAAGCCCTCAGTTAGCTAACCTGCCAACCATCATGTCAGATGCTACTGTGCCAAATCTTTTGCTAAAGTCAAGAAATATGTTCTCACCATCTATTGAGAAAGTTACCTAAACAAAATATGAGGTAAGAGCACTCTGCCAAGATTTGTTCTTGATAAATCCATACTGACTTCTATCAAATACTGCATTGTTTTCAAGGTACTTTTAAGATGAATCAATCCCTAGAACAGTGATGGCGAACCTTTTTTGGCTGGTGTGCCAAAAGCGGGGAAAGCACAGGGGGGTCGTGCGGTTGCTCAACCCAGCATACACATGTATACTTCCCCCCTGTGCGCATGCGCACGCGACTAGTGCTTCCTCCCTCCACTTTTGGTGCGCTTTTTTTGCCCTCCCCAGGCTCCAGAGGCTTTCTAGGAGCCTGGGGAAGATGAAAACAGCCTCCCCCGTCCCCGGAGACCTTCTGGAGTGCGAAAAACCTATGAGCAAACCAGAAGTTCAGCAATGGACTTCCGGTTTGCTCGTAGGGCCATTTTTTGCCCTCCAGAGCCTTCAGGAGGCTTCCCTGAGGGCTCATGAACGGCAAAAAACGGCACTACGGAGAAACCTGAAGGCTCCAGAGGGTGAAAAATGGTCCTACGAGCAAACTGGAAGTCCGTTTGGGCGAACGGTCAAATCAGAAGTCAGTTTGGGTGAAAAACGGCCTCAAAAGAAGGCCAAAGTCATCTGGCCAGCACATGCATGTGCGATGGAGCTGACAGGGCAACGCCTCACATGCCCTAACAAATGGCTCTGTGTGCCACCTGTGGCACGTGTGCCATAGGTTCACCATCACGGCCCTAGAATGTTCCCAGATATCAATGTCAGACTAAATATTTTGCAATTTGTAGGACTCCACTTCTCCTTTGAAGAGAGGGGACATTTGCCCTCTTCCAATCATTTGGGAATTCACCAACCTGTGATAAAATATTTTTGTCAAGGATACTTGATACTTGATAAGGTTTTATCCAGATCACCAGCTAGTTCTTCCAGTACCATAGGATGCAAATTAAAGTAAAAGGATATTTCCTGACTATATTTTTAATCTATCCTTTTTCCCATTTCCTGATGGAACACATAATTGTTGTTCCTTTGAACATGATGATCAAATAAAATATTGAGTGGCTTCCCTCTCCCCCCCCCATTTCTAGTTTCACATATTTTGCTATCTTCATTGAGCAGCTGGTATATTGATTTTTGTCTTTTCCTTTTCTTTTGAACAAATCTAAAGAAGCCATTTTCATTACCATCCTTTGCTAATCTCAGCTCATTCTGAGATATTTTTTCCTGTCACCAGCTCTGCAATTCAAGGCTGTCTGTAATTTTCCTTTATGATGTGGTCCTCTTTCCATTTCCTGTCGTGTTTGTTTGCTTTTAGATCTTTATGAATGCTCTGAACAATTCTTAATGTTCTGGTTGCTATATTTTGAGCAATCATCTTTTAAAAAATATTTAAATAATGAATGCAACCCTCCCCATATTGTAAAGAACTTCTGAACTGGCATTTCATTTAATATTTATCCTAATTTATTCTCCAAGAACTAAAAGCAATTGAATAAGTGAGTTTAACTCTCAGTGTGCAAGTAAATACGAAGTTACATGACTTTATATGTTGATTACAAATTACAGTAATTAAGCAACACCAGGTTTTTTCTTTAGAGTTCTATACACAATAATGTAGAATAATTGCTTCCCATCTTAAGACAAGATACAGTATGTCTTCTCCTTTGCAGTATTTCGTTTATACATATTAATCAATCAGATTTTTAAGGATATTTATTGCAAGTAATTTTGTTATTGCCATGGAAACAAATGCTGCAGGCATTTTCTTTTTTTAAAACTAAAGGAAAGTTCTGTAGGGAATCCCTTAGAATATCTAGCATCTACATTATGCTGCCAATATTAATGCTCGGACTAAATTAGGATATATGGTACCTTTTGCTTAAGAACTAGCAGCTGGCCAAGAAACTAATAGTTCCACCCAAGAATATTCTTGCTCAGAATGTTTATATATCATATTGAATTAGACTGAATCATATTTATTTAAAAATGGTTATTTTTATACTATATACAGCTTTTCTAAAATTTACAAATATACTGTAACTATGGTAGCATGTAAAAGCTGAAACTACATTCTGAATGTAAACTATACATTATTTCTAGGAACAATCTTTTGATCAAGTAATCTGACATACATTCTTAATTCTATGAATGGCAATTGCAAAAGGTTTGAATTATGAAGTTTCCACATCTATTTTCTCAAACTTACAGACAAAATTGTATGTTGTATCCAATCACACTAATACATTTTTTCTTTCATGAGAATAAGAAATAGGTTGTGATGTCATACCATTCTAGTTCTGAGGATATGGTTTTATACAAAGTTCATTGTCCTGAAGCTCAGCTAAGCCAACCATTATGGTCCTTGGACTCAAACTCAGCTCAACTTTGCATCAGGAAAAGCTTTTCTAAAAAAAGACTTTGAGGTTGAAAGTCTGGATCTCCCTCTGGAGGCCTAGTTCCACTATTGTATACGTCTTAAGGAACAAAATGATAGCCATCCTTCTTGCA